TGTGTGTGTGTGTGTGTGTGTGTGTGTGTGTGTGTGTGTGTGTGTGTGTGTGACAGAACGGTTTTGATCTGCTCCATCTCTGGTTACTCAGATTCTCTAACAGGTGTCACTCTCTCCACATGCTTTTCTGATTTTTTTTCCCCTCCCATGACGTCACCACTGCTTCACCTCATCTTCACCTTCCTCCTCTTCCTCCTCTCCTCCCTCTCCTCCTCACTGCTGCTGCTTGGGGCGGAAGCCTCCTAAAAAACGCCTGGATTATAATCCAGACATCTCCACTCGCCAGCGTATTGAGGTAATCCCCAAATCGTGATCTGTCCGTAAAGTGTTTCTGATTGCACATGGTCTAACCAATAACATGAGTCGAGTCCTACAGGATGTGAAGTGCTCCAAATGAATGGAACGTTACCAACAACACAGTGTGAAGTCAAAGCAATGCAAACACATGTGTGATTTTTTATGCTTTTTGTTTTTTTTAAGATGAAGGTATATACTGTATTATTGGGTTGTGTTGTGTAAATTAGGACAAAAATATTGTTTTACTGTGAGATGAGATTTTTTTTAATGGAGCTTTAAATGTAAACGTTTACATTTTTTTATATGTCCAACATAGTTGCATTTGGTAGTTGTGCTTTCCTATTTAAGATTACTCATTCAGTGCATCTTTTTCTATACCCAATTTTCCTATTATAGGGAGTTGGGGAGTTGGTACCTATCTCCATTAGTAGTGTTGTAAGAGACAGGATACACCGTAGACAGGTCGCAAATCCTTCACAGGGCTACACAGAGAAAAAACGAGACAGATATCCATTTGTGCACCCATTGACACCTAAAGGCAATTTATAGTTACCAATTATCTGAACGTGTGGGTTTTTGGTCTGTGGGAGGAAACTGAAGTACCTGAAGAAATGGATAGCATGGGGAAAACATGCAAACACAGCCACACAGAAAGGACCAAGAATCAAACCAGTGACCTTCTTGCTCTGAGGCGACAGTGCTAACCACTGCTCTGCCCTGTTCAAGATTATCAAGGATTCTTTACCATTAACGCCCATTCCATTTGGTCCATCCCAGGTTTTGCAGCCCAACATTTTCCCCCTTGAGATGAACTCATACATCCATCCCTACTTCACCTTTGCCATCGTCCTTCACTACAACTCAGTGAAAAGCAGAGAACGTGCAGTAAATTAATCCTCATCTCCAGTTCTGGTCCTGGTCAGGTGTGCCACGTGGAACCAGCATCCCCTCACACGATTTTGCTGGGGGGAGTGTTTTCGCTGTGGCACAGCAAAAACCGCATGCAAGCTGGTGCTTTGTAAGCTGCTCTGCCTCAAGTCTTTGTTTACGCGGAGCTCAGTTTTCTCTTTTGTCTCCTGTCCCGTTTCAGACATCCCTCCACATCGCTCCCGCTGACAAGACTTTGGAGAGACCTGCAAGGTAACTGCTGTTTCTTTTTTTATTCTCCTCTGCAGCACCCCTCCCCCTCCCCCTGCCCCATCCTCTCTACAGCATCCCTCCTTGTTGTGATTCAGCAGTGTGTCAAAACTCTGCTCCTGTACACCTCGTGTTTGGAGCTAATATCTGGCGTATGCTGTTCATGATAATTTGCTGGGATTAGCGTTACTCTTTATTTGCTCCAGTAATTGATGTCAGGACACTTTTCTCTCTTAACTGAGACAGAATAAATGAACGCAGCAAGCCTATTGATTCTGCCATTCGCCTCCTGTCCCTCCTTCAACCCCCTCTCCTCCCTCCTGTGGTCTCTCTTCCTTTCACTGCTGCCCTGCTTATTCAGTCGCATTTTACTCGGTGCACAGAAAGGGCTGAATAGGGCTGTGATGAAAAGGCCATGTAATTTATTTCAGTGACATTGAGTGTTTTTTTAATCCCCTTGGGTTTTTGTTCAAAAGAAGTTTCACAAATATTCCGTTTAATTAAATAATCTTGAACAACATTTTAGATGTATTCAGTGGTTCCATAAACAGTTGTGAAACCTATATATTTCCCAAACAAATAGGTAGTTCAAGATTTTGTTATTCAATGTATAGAATGCAATCACAAAACCTATAACATATTTAAAACAACTACCCTTTTTAAGCTGTTTATCTATGTATCATACTTGTGTATCTTAATTGGACAGTAGCAGAGATTGATGTTTGTTTTGTAGTGCTGCCAGTGACTACAGAAAAAGAAGGAAGTCTGAGCCTTCGAGTTCCCAAGTCAATGCTCAGTCTCAGAGCAGAGCTGCAACTTCTCCTAAACCAGTGGATGCCTACAGATCCAGCAGCAGCCTAAAGAAACCTGTCATACGTTCCTCACCATCCTCACCCTCCAGAGCCAAAGGTATTCCCACTCATAGAAGTATGTCTTTTTTTTACTGAATATATTTTGTTCTCTTTGAGTCTCTTTGTATTTCTCTCCTCCTTTACCCCAAGATGTACACGTGCACTGTGCTTACCACCAGAAATTCACAGATTCTGTTGTGTTTTGAAAAACGTGATTTCTGTCTGAGGTTTAAATAAAGAAAAAATATATAACAATTTTCTTTTCCCACCCTTTTCCCCCCTTTTTAATTTTCCCTTTCTCTAGCACTTCCACTCTTTTTCTGGGTAGTATTGCTTAACCTGCTTTCCTCCTTCTTTTCTCTTGCCACGCTGCTTTTATGGGACATCTGAAAGGTGGGGACGCATGCAACATTTTTTCAAACAATATGTCCGCCCTAGTTCCTTACGAGAGTACTTCACTTCCTCCCATCCCGTCTGGCTTTGATCGTGTTCATGAAGATGCCAATGAGGAAGGCAGCTCTTCCTCAAAGCAGTCTGTCTGTTGTACAAACAGTTGGCAGACAAAAAGCCAGGATGCTGAGACGTGGAGCAGTGCGGAGGAGGCCCAACCCTCCTCTGAGAAGCTCAGATCACGTAGTTGTGACGACTTGCTCAATGATGGGAATTCTGGCTCGGGTGGTCAACATGCCACTCGTTCAGAAAGTGCTGGGTCGCTGTTGTGCGACGGGAATCCCGCGACAGTTTCGACCTCCACCCAGTCGTTGCCTCGTGTTCATCGTCGACGTGCGCACGATTCCCCAGGCTTTCTCCAGCTTTATCGGAAGATGCACCAAATTGATCGAGCTCATCTCATCTCATCTGAAGTCATCCGTTCTGTCCGCGCTCGTATCCTGGAGCTAGAGCGTCAGCCTCATCTCCATCGCCATCGCCTCTCTCCGTGGACACCCTCTTGGGGTGTGGAAGTGCCAAGGGATATGGTGCCAAATCGTATTTCTGAATATGAGCGTCTCATTCAGAAGTCCAAATCCATGCCTAACTTGGGTGATGGCGAGGCGCCTTCAGGCACCACTACGCCGGGAGGCTCGTCATCTCGTGCTAGCAGTGGTGGTGGAGGGACGCCCAGTTTTTCGAAACGCCGTTTTTCTGTAGAATCGTTGTTGGAGGAAGACAACAACGGAAACAGTAGGACTGTAACTCAAAGCATGGATCACATACTTCGTAGCCCACCTGAGGGCCAGCCTCGTGTTGGGCCAGAGCCGGGCAAGGCATTTCCCACTCCTCCAGTTCCTCAAGGTCCACAAGCCAATCCAGACTTTTCTGACAGTGAGCAGGATGCTATTGCATCTGACCTCAGTGATTTCATCCAGGTGGAGGGGTCTTCATTTTGCAGTGAGAGCGAATTCGACCATTGCTCACTAACTTCATCCGAGAGCCTTTATGGTTCTTCCACCCTCCACCATCACCAACTTCGTCACCACCACCACCACCATCACCATCACCATCCTGGTCACCAAAGTCTAGGACAAAATCAAGGCTACCAGCACCGTCACCTCATTAGCACCTGCAAAGGTCGCTGCCCGGCCTCATACACCCGCTTCACGACCATGCTTCGCCATGAGAGAGAACGAGCGCGACAAGAGCACCAGAGGTCGTCACAGCAGATTCACAGTAGCCGTTCCCAAAACCAGGCCTCGCCGTCCCAACAAGCGATGTCCAAGCTGGCCTTCTTGGTCAGCCCAGTGCCTTTCCGCAGGAAAAAGGGCTCACCACCTACCTCTAGAAGAAGCAGTGCTGGCGGAGGTCGAGGTAGCAGACCCAAGTCTAAACAGGCCATTTATGAAGCCCTTGATGCAGCTTTGAGAGACATTTATGAGCACATTCAAGCAGAGCGAGGCCACAGAAGCTCTAGGCCACCGGATGATAGCATTTTGAGGAGAATATTGGCTGAGCTGCTGCCAAGCGTGCCTGAAAGAAGCTCCTCTTTGCGAGTGACAAGAGGTTGTTGGCACAGAGGTCATTCTTCTACGTCTGTTTACCCTGATGGAAGCCCTACCGGGTGTGCGTCGTATAGAGGAGAGCCTTCCACACCAAGCTTCCAGTCACCACGATTACAGTCACCAATCAGTGCCTGTTACGGACGATATTTGGAGGCCTCAAACAATAATGACTATGGAGAAGAGCAGGGCAATGGAAACGGTCTCTGTTATTCAGGTGGAGATAACACATGCACCTCATCTTCTAATCTCATAAATAACATACACAAACACTTTATATTGTTGTCAAATGTATAATCAAAAAAGTTCCAAACACACAGTTACAATTAGAGCTCAACTGAGAAAGCATATTTACAATATAAAAAAATCTGATAAATAATTTTAATATTTTACATTTCTATACTACTAATGTTCTACAGAGCAGRTTGTATTTAGGATGTGGCTATTTCCATTGGACAGACTAAGAGATTGTCACATTATTTTTTATTTATGCATTTTTTCCCTATTATACTCTATAGATCATACGTGAATATGTGTGTGTGTATATACACACACACACACACACACACATATATATATACATACACATACACACACACACACACACACACAGAGAGAGAGAGAGAGAGAGAGAGAGAGAGAGAGAGAGAGAGAGTTTGGTGTTCTAAATATTTTTAAAAAGTACTGGATTTTGATATCAGCTGGGCTCTGAGACAAAAGAGAACCATGTCTATTTTTTCACATTTTGTCTTTCAGTTTTGCCTGCTCTTGTAGCCCAAGTCATTTCATTTTTTTCACTGCCATATCATTATTTGGCTTTTCTTTTTATTTATACAACATTGATCATGACCTGTGTATTGTATTTTCTCAAGTAAAATTTGACCATAAAGCTTTTTTGCCTCCTGTGAAACTGAAAACTTTATGTACATGTTTCACATGAAATTTCTGTTGGTGACGTCGGATGACAAGGTCATATGAAGTACTAGTAAGTTCTTCATTTAAAATATTCGGAAAATACGACATCTGACTGAAAGGCACGTGAAGTCTATCAATGCAAATTTGACACTTTTCTTTTGTTGCTGTTGTAGTAGTGAAAAGGCAACACTTTCYGTTTTCTAAAATGTAATTTGCCAAGTATTTGGGATGTGGACCTGTTTGTTTTCTATATAAGAATAAACATTTAAGATTGCTCTGAACATCAGTGTGATTGCAAATCTGTCTCCCAAAAAAACAGGCTACCTCACAAATTAATATACAACTCAAATTCAGATGCTTCAAAGCTGCTGTCTTGATTAATTATTTACCTATTTGTTATTGATTTAGCAGGATTAAAATTTCTCAACCCCCCACACCGGAAAAGAGGACTTTGTACCTAGATGTGTTAAACTTGGCCAAAGGGACACCCTTGCTTTGCTTTAACAAATAGTGAAACAACTGGATAATGACACGTAGTCGAAAAAATGCTGTAAGAAAACGTTAATAATGAAAAACGTAATAATGTCTGCAGAATAATGTCTTTTCAGTATAATTATTGAATGTAAGTCAAAATTTAGTTTAGTTCTGTTAATGCTGATTAGAGTAAATCATTGTAAATAACTTATAATTTTTAACAGATTTTAATGGTTACCTTGTTGATATGATGGTTTAATTTATAGTCATGTATTTACTATGAAAAATTATTTGTCATTGTTTTTTTTTCTTTTGTTTTGCTTTGTTGAGTTTTGCTTGTGTTTCCCTTGTTTCATTCCCCTTGTGTTCCAGTTATTTTGTAGTTTTGCTTGTGTCTGTTGGTGCCACATTTGGAAAAGGTTTCGTCACTTTGTGTTTTGAGTTACTTTTTCCTATAAAAAGAAAATAAAATGCATCTATTTCCACCCAAGTTTTCATTCCCTCATTTTTTTTCCATTTTAATGACATTATCTATGTATCATAAGTGCTTTTTCAGACCCCATTTTTGAATCACAGGTGACTTAAACCTGGTTACTGTAGGTAACTTTTGCCAACATTTTTTTTTAACCACAGACCAGGATGTGTCGAGGAGTTATTCCACCATAGATGGTCGCCACACCCCGCAGAGCAGAAGACCAACTCCTGACAGAGAGGTACTTTATAGAAACTAATTTACTAGTGTTTCCAACACAAACCTGGTGTGGCACAAAAAAATCAGACGAAGATCAGAATGACGTTCATAAAGAAAACATCTCCTAATAGCACAGCACAGAGGAGCTTAATCATAAGTATCAAATCAGATATGTAAATAGCATTTGTAGACAATTGTGTTAAACCTGATGTGTTCACTACTCTTCCAGGTCTCCAAAAAACAGATGGCACAACTTACTCTGTTCTCTCTCCTTCATCAGAAACAGCCGGCAAAAGCCATTTATGATTTTAAGGCACAAACAACTAAGTAAGTAGGATCAATTTTAGCATGCACAAACAGGGACGCAGAGCTAAAAAGTACTGTTGTTTAACTACACAATAACATATTACAGCATGAAAAATGATTTCAGACTTAATTTATTTTGCATACTACTGTATAGTATGTCCTAACTTATGTCTACTTATAGATGGCTTACTTATTTTTAAATTCTTTAAGTGTTTGCATGATTAAAGCTGATTTGTGCAGAGCTCACTTTTACTTTTTGTGTTTTCATGGCTGACTTATTACTGCTTCTTTTGTATGTGAACGCCTGCACGAGTGGTTTTCATTTATTTTTGTTTTTGGGACTTCATACTGGTTCAGAAATGCATGCAAATACATGTCACGGACTCATCTGTGTTGCAGGGAGTTGACATTTAAGAAGGGTGATGAAGTGAACATCATCAGGCAAATAGATAACAACTGGTATGAAGGAGAGCACAGAGGACGGGTGGGGATATTCCCTGTAGCGTACGTAGAGGTAAATGTGCTTCTCCCAGGAGTCCGTTCGATTTATTAAATGCACCATGACTGGGTTTGTCTTCTTGTTGCACTGTTCAACTCGATGTGCATATTCTCTGTCGTAACCCGCTCTTGTGTTTATTTGCTGCACACGTAGAAGATGTCATCCCCAGAAAAGCAGCAGCCAATTCGTCCTCCTCCACCAGCGCACGTCCGAGAGATCGGAGAGGCGGTGGCCCGCTTTAACTTCAACGCTGACACTAATGTGGAACTGTCACTGAGAAAGGTCGCTAGTTTGTGTTCATTTTATTAAATTATTTTCTGTGACTTTATTTAATCAYAAAAAAGGTAGTACATCAATAGTACAACTATGAATTCAAGAAGGTTTTCAAAATTCAATTCAAAATATTTGTTAAAGAATCAAAAATTCTCCAAATTATTTTGTACTGTCAAAATTTGTTTTTTTTTTTATGATGGTCTGTGCTGTCGTGTGTGTGTGTGTCGTGTGTGTGTGTGCAGGGCGAGAGAGTTATTGTATTAAGGCAGGTGGACCAGAACTGGTACGAGGGGAAGATCCCCAGCACAACTAAACAGGGCATCTTTCCCGTGTCCTACGTTGACGTTGTAAAGCACTCGCCGTCTAAGAGCTCCACCCACCACATAGATCCACATGGTTACCATAGCAACAGGACCCCGAGCTCTACGCCCGTCAAGGTAAGAAAGTCAAGGACATCGTCACTTTTCAAACAACGGATGTATGATAGGGCTTTGAATGTACGGAGTAAATATTTTCCAATCTGACACCATAAAGAGGTTTTAGCAACTTTTTTTTTTATTAATACAGACTTTGTCTACCTATTAAAGCACTTTTGGCCAGTTATTGCACCCACTTACCCTTACTCCTCTGTTCTAGTTGKGTTTATCACCCTCTGTCACTTCTCTCACTTTATTTTCTTGGAGCCGTTCTATCACCTGCCTCCATCTTACACCCCTCGTGACCTTCCTTCCCCTCAACCTTCTCAGAGAAGACCTGACCTTCAGGCAGTCACCAGCGAGTGGCTGTCGCTCACGTTGGATCCATCGGCATCCACCCCCACTCACTCCATCACACCCCCGCCTGTGCCACCCACGCCTCCCCCTCTCCCCTCTGACCTTTCCCCGTGCCTCGCGGCTCGGGAGCCCGCTCCGTCGCCGAAAGGCTTCGCCCTTTCACGTCAGGCGTCCTCCGGAACGCCGCCTCTCACCGAGAGAGGTGTCGGTTTKCACCGCGCCCCTGCTGTTCTTCCTTTTTCCCAGCCTGCCCCACCTCCTCCTCCTCCTCTTCCACCACCCATCTCTCRTCCGTCATTCACCTCCTACCCTGCTTCGCTTCGGTATAACGGTGACAGGGGGTTACATATCACTGAAGCAGCCCAAACTGGATCCATGTCTGTGCCTGAAATGTACTCCTGCGCAGAGGCAGCACCAGTGCAGCCATCCACACAACTTCCAGAGCTGCAAAGGCCCAAAACGCCTGAAAGCAAARGCAGCACGATGCTTGACATTGAGTTATATGTAAAAGACCCTTATGATGAGCTGTTGTCCGTGACTTTAGATGGTTCCAGCAGAGCAGATCGTGATGATGTTTCAAAAGCGCTTTCAGTAGATTCCCCACCTGCCAAACTCACTGAACCTCCGAGCAGATGGTTTCAGAGAAAAGACCAACAACCCCATCAACCTGCAGTGAAACTCGCAGCAGTCGGCGAGCCGCCTGGGAGCGTTCGCTTAAAAGTGCAGTTTCACAAACCTCTAACCATGACACCACAGCCTGTTCTGTGGGGAGAGCAGCCGGCGGCTCTGAACGAACAAGCTGCTCATGCTGAGAGGCCACCGTCAGCAGAAGGATACACGGAGTTATTCATTGAGGAAGAGGATGGAGATCTGCAGGATGAGGAGRATGAAGAGTTGCAGGACAAAGAGGAGGACATTAGACTTGTAAATGAGAGGCTCAGTCCGCAGGTAGAGCATGGTGTTGAGTTTGAAAAATCTGTGAAGTCCCTGAAGGAACATTGAAGAGAATGTTTGTCTTGTTTTCTCTCTAATTTATCAGTGAAGAGCATTAAAATATATGTAAACAAAAATAATGTATCTGCAAAGTTAACCAAAGAATTTAAAAAYACAGAAATTATGGGATACTCTTAATATTTTTTACCATTTATAACCAATCCAATCATTTAGATGAAAAGATTTTTATGACTGACTTTTTTACACATTGAATATATCTCTAATAATAGAGGTGTGATTTGTTATCAACTAAAATTAAATAATAGTTTCTAAGGTTACACAACATGCCAAATATTATTTACTGTTGGCTTAAGTCTGTACACACAGATGGTCGTCTTGATTAAAGCTGAGATATTATTTGGAAAAGTAATAAAAAAAATGCATTTGAAAAATATTTCATTCATTATTAATACTTTAATTTTACAACTTCCTTGCACAAAATTGTAGAATTTATTTTAAAACACACATATAGGGATATAAACTGTTGATTTTTTTAAGAGACAATATTTATTTAGATATTCAACATGTCTTTTTTGTTTGAGGGACTTTCCTTCTTTTCTTCCATGTTCCTTCTGAGGTCTTCCCATCGACATGTCTTGACTTCAGGATCTCAGTATATATAT